CGAGAACTGTTTAGTGCTCAGAAGTCTACACTCTGGACATTGGAATGTTAGTGGGTTGAGGCTGGTGTGATCTGCATTCATAAAACTGTTTAACACTCCACCTGTAGGTTTTAAATATCCCAAGCTTGGATATCTTTAAATAGTGAGAATAGTTGAGGATTGGGATACACCCAAACAGAATTTATTGGCCTTAAATTTGTCACTTGAAGTTGTGAAGAAAAACAATAAACTAGTATGTTAGGTTTGTATGTTAACTGTGTTTCCTTGCCATGTGTGGCGAGGCGTGGGCAGCACAGAGGCATATCGCTAGCATCACTGGTCGTCTCCTCCTCCACGCTGCCTACACTTCAGGCTGGGCGCAAGGCGCCGCCCTGTCTTCGTCGCATAGTAACCCGGGGACCTTACTGGTGTGTAAGTGTGGCGCTCGAGAGGTCCCTCTCCCTCACTTTCACTGAGTTACTCGCATTCTTGCACGTGCCGTTTCATTCCTCTGGCTGCTGCTGTGTTTAGTGGTGTTGCATCGATAATGTGAATGACTTGGTAATGTCAAGTTCCTCCCCCTATCCCGAACTCGCCTCGCATGTTAAAGCCGTCCTCTTCTCGATAAAGATTTGAAATACACAAATACTGTGGCTGGAGTGACTAGACAAAACACTCGTGTGTTTCAGGGAATTTGTCCATTTCATATTACTGCCCAAAACGTCCCGGCCACAAGGTAGACGGTCATCTGAGAATGGGCTGCTGTATTGACGGTGAACCCGTCCAGGAGGATAATCGGAACTTAACAAAATCGTTCTGTTAACTTCTTAAAGGCTTTTTCCTGTCCGCGGAGTCCCTGTACACCTTAGCTGTCACGTGTCGTTTCCACACTAATGAAGATATTTGAGCCACTTGTTCATGGAACCTTGTTCACCACAGACGTATCAGTTATCACACAAACTCTTCTCGTCACTACCCTGCCATAAACATTGCTCTTAGTTGTCATAATACCTTTCCCAGGAAGCTAACAGGGTGTACAGTTAGGGCCCCACACCTGACACATTCAACAGACTAGCATAGTCCAGACCGCGTCACACAGCTAAACTGGAGTCTAGAATTCTTCCACCACAGTAATTCTAGACCTAAGGTACGACGAAGCGACTTGATCAATCCGTACCCTTTCTCCACTACCCTTAATAATATCAACATTAACACCTGCTTGAGCTTTTGCATCTTGGACTACAGATTTGTCACTAGCTAACTTTCTAGCATATTTATCTTTTGGTCTTTGACTTTTGTCCACCAGTTGAATAATTTAAAATGGACGAAAGACAAGACGTTCTGATCATTTTAGACAGGCAACATGTGAAAGGTCTTTCTTCAAAGATATAGGACGACCATGTGCTTTTTCAGCCACGTTATTGTGACTCTTAATCTACACAATGTGCTCATTAGTTGTTATTAATGAGCACATGGTCGTCCCATATCGTCCAATAATTATTAATTACTGAGCGCGTGGAGGCACGCGTAACGGGATGCCACACAAGGAATGATACTCCTGGCATCAGTGTTGCTCATAGGGAACAACTGCGCTGCTCGCATCACATTTCAATGAAAGCCAGATACCCACACTATAAGGCACGCCGCTCTTGTGCTGCACGCACACTCACGTGCAGTAAAGCTAATACCCACCGCTTCAAAGCACTCGAAATACAGCTTATTGAATGAAGATAAGAAATCACTTAAATCACCAAAGATTAGAGAACTCGCATTCCTGCAGGAGTGCGCCTGTGGGCTGCTGCTAGCATCAGCAGCAGTTGCAGCTACCCAGGAGTTAGGCAACTGTTGTGGGTTGCATCGTGGGGAAGGTCAGTAGTTTGACCTTGCAGGGGACTGCAATATATACAGAGGCGTTCTGTCCCTCTGACAGTATAATGGAATGGTGAATAATTGCAGATATGGTATTGTACCTGTGGTCTAGCAGGCTATGGCTGCCAGCTGGCTTCCTGCACTACAGGAATAGGATGGATATACTATTCTGCTACAACAAAAAGATTAGAAAGTATTTTAAGTAACTCGGCAGGATGTTAACTAAACTTATCCCTCATGGATAAGGACACTTTAAAAAGTTGAAAATGTGTCAAAGGTTCAGAAAATGTTTGGACTCGTCTGATTGTGTGTTTACAGTGAAGTTGACAATGTATGATTGTTAATTTAAGTTGTATAGAATCCTCGTGTACACAGAAACTACTAGTTTCATGTTGGATGGTTACTGCTGTAATTGGCAGTTTGCAAATTAGTGTTGCCCAAGCTGAACAGTTATTTTAAACCATTTTGCTTTCACAATTGATCGAAATTAGTTCAGAAATAGCATCGAATGAATTTAAAATAAATTTGCAATGGAAGTATCCCTTAAATTGACGTCGTGCGTTTGGCAGCACAGGTGTTACATTCCCGGGTAAGGGTGGGTTGTCGTACAGGGGCGGGCGGCAGTAGCGGGCTGGCAGCGGTGCGGTGTTGGCGGCGCCTCTCACACACATTTGCCGCGCTTTTTTTGTATTTTTTAATTTTAGTTTACGTAATAGAGTAATAAATGGTTATATAAAGTGCGAGGTGTATACTTGTAACTAGTAGTTAAGTGGTGAACTTGAGGAAAGTGTGGATAGTTGATAATTAGCCACTGTAAGTGTATCTAGAGTACTGTCAAGTGTCAAGTTAAGTTGCAAGTATATTATTTGGATATTAGTGAACGCAGACCAGGTGGTGGTGTGGTGGATTAGGCCCACGCTACTGGCCAGCCACAGGCAAGTGTGTGTGTGTAAACTGGTGGCGGGGTGTCCCCTCCACTCCTGCGTATATATGTTGAACAGCCTCCCCGCCATTTTCCTTCTGCACCGGCACTTCCCGGGTCTCTTGAACAACGGTGGCTCACCGCATTATCTGGGGCTTACTGCCTCGGTAACGGTGGAATTCTTATCTATATCATCTTTATCATTAGTCACTTGTCCCGTTTCAGTAGACGCAGTTCAAAGTAATATAAATTTTGAACAAATCGATGTAACTTCTAAATCACTTTAACAATGTCATGTGCCAATTTATATTTCTCTTTGACAGCAACTTGGTTCATATATTTGATGGTTCATCCACCTGATTGGTGTTACTGGCGGCTTAAGAATCTTTATTTTATAAAAGATAGAATGGATTGACACGTTGATTTTTCTGGTAAAAGATGTCCACTAAGACCAGCTCTCCCGTCTGACACGCGGTTGGTGTTACTACAGTAAATGTTGTGTGATTAATTGATGATTGATGATTGAAGATTAAGCCACCCAAGAGGTGGCACGGGCATGAATAGCCCCGTAAAAAATGTTCTGTATTAAATGTAGGTGTATAAGGGTTGGTGTGGAGATTGGTCATTCCTTGGGATAGTAAGGTGGGGCGGGCTGGCTAGTAAGTTAAAGGTTTTCAAAATAAGTTACAAATTATGGATCTTGGTTCCACATGACCTCCATAATTGCTTTCAAACTAAATAGTGTACTATTGCAGAAGTGGATGTTAGACGAGCTAGTGTACTCTGACTACAGTTAGCAGTGTGTGCTGGCAATCCATCTTTTGCATGGCCTGGTCTTGAGTTGTCTGCTTTCTGGTTTGTCATAGTAAAGTCTGCTGGTTGTTTGTCTTGTTACTAAATTTAAGTAATTTATATATTTGATTATTTTTATATTCAAATTTAAATATTTGATTCATGTCCAGTAATCACCACTGAGTAAACGGCAACAAAACGTGGAGCTGTACCTGGAGTGGCTGTGTTAGTTTGCAAGTTGGAAAAAGTCATGCTGTTATTTGTCATCTGCAAAGGATGATACGAAGCAGTGACTTGTATTAGTCACGGCTTGTATTATGATATGATAACGCCCTTTTCGTCTCTGGAGAGGTTCACTGAGGACAGTTAGTTCTCACTGGAATACTAAACATGACAAATGTAAGCGAGCCCTTCTCCTTTATGAAACATAAGACTGTCGCACTTATCCAGTTAAGTGATCTACAAAGCTATTGAGGTGTGCATACCTGGAGAGGGTTTCAAGAGTTCTATTCCTCGAGCCCAGCCTGAGGCCTGGCTTGACTTGTGATAACTTGGTCCAGCAGGCTGTTGCTTGGAGTGGCCCACATATCCACTACAACCCGGTTGATCTGGCACTTGCAAGAACTTAAGAAATTTTTGAAGACTTCCACCTTGGTTCTGGCAATATTTCTTATGCTTGCTGGGAGGTTATTGAACAGCTGTGGATCTAAGTTCAGACTGTGCTCTCCAATTGTGCCTCTGATAACTCACTTGGTCTATTCTGCACTTCCTTTCCTATCTTTTGCTCCAGTATGTTCTACTGTGCAAATTTGGGACCTGGCCCTCCGGTGTCTAACCTTGTATATTGATACCTCTCATCTCCTTTCCAGAGTACATTTTGAGAGCTTAGACTGTCCCAATAACTTAGGTGTGCCTTCTTGGGCTTGCTAAACTGGGAATCCTGGTCCCTCCTAGGTAAAGGCAGTTGCTGCTAAACTTGATACAGAACTGACTTGCTTTTTCTTCAGACTACTTACTGAATGGCCTACTGTGCTCGTATGTGCACTACGTATCAAAATTTTAATCTTGGATGTAAAATAGTGTGAAATAGTAGCTCTATACAGTACTAAAAAACATGGAAAATAGTTAGTCTATCTACTCCATAATTTTGCCTGAGCTGTGTTCAGCATTCCTTCTGGCAAATAAATCCTCCTACAGATACATACATGCAGTTGAAGTCTCCACTATGTATATTTTGTCTGCATAGTATTGTGGTCTTACGCGACTGCAGGAGACACTATAGCCATTAGAACCACCACATTAGCATTTAAGCATTGATGAAAGATGTCAATCTTTTGACACACTGCATTGCGCTACATGATCAACACATGAAAGATTAGATGTGCATTGCTGAGTGACTATTTAATGTTTTAATTTATAAAATTTTGCTTTGTTGCAGTTGATGCAGCATTGGCTGAACTTGACAGCATTCCAGACGGAGTTTGTGAATCTGGGGACGTAGAGGAGGAAGAGGACGACGAAGAGGGGTGGTCTTACTTTCATATGGAACCCCAGACACGGCCACAGGTATAACGCATTTAAAATATTTGTATCATTCGTTTTAAGACCTTATCATTGAATGAATCGGTTGACTGAGTAACCTTCCATTGCAGGGGTATTTTTCATGGCAGCAAACCCCTTTGCCTTCTCTACAGTATTTTTCTTACATTGTGGGGCTTTGTTGACCAAACCACACGCTAGAATGTGAAGACGATGTTTTGGTCCGTCCTGGACCGTTGTCAAGTCAATTGTGAAGAGAAGAATGTATTATTTTTAATTCTTCATTTAAGGTGGATCAGAATGTGACCCCATAACTGGACAGTATTGATCATTTACTTAGTACAAGATAATGCCATTGGCCTGGGGTTTATACTGCCTTCATGCCTAAGGCTGGATGATGCTCAGTTTTATTTTTATAGATCTGTACAGACAGCCATATAATTTACATACAGAGGTCATGGCAATATCTTGCTATGATTCTTTAATTGCAGTCTTATTGATATTCAATACCCATAGAAATAAAAACAAACTTGTATGACCAAACAAAGTAGCAACAGTATCAGGAAGGGTTGCTCAGTACAGTATGTATAATTTGAATATCAGTAATGGCATTATCAGGGAGAAAGTAAATGACTAGCAAAATTACGTGAGGATTTGCGGTCGCGTAATTTTGAGGAACTTCCTCAGATTTTGAGGAACTGTCCAAAAGTACAAATTCCTGCAAGAAACGAAGCAATTCTGCTGTAATGTTCAAAATCTGAAACGTACTGCTTTCTTATAATTTGAAAGGACACTGAAAGTTTGCACAGAAGGCACTTGAAGGCTACAGTACTGCAGTGTAAAAGTAAAATGCAATTAGTGACCCCTTTTTTATTTTTTGCACCAGACTAATGGAATACAAATAATCTCATTAAAAGATTTTTTAATGGATAATTCTTCACATCAAAATATAACCGTATAAAATTGCCAGTTATGGACCTCTACTAGATGACAAATGAGTGGAAACTCATAAGTAAATAAAAAATTACATTCTTGTAAAGCCACTAGCACGCATAGCATTTTGAGCAGGTCCTTAATCCTAATTTTCCCTGAAATATAACCCGCCAAATTGTTTAACAGCCAGGTACCCATTCATTGCTGGGTGAACAGGCTGCAGTTAAGGATTGGCACTTAGTCAATCCTCCTTGGCCATATGAATCCAGGCAAAGTCGCTTGCGAAGCGCCAGGCGAGTGATTTACCACTGCGCCTGGTGACTATCAATTAAGAATGTTAATGTAAGAAACATTAATTAAGAATGTTTATCATGTTAAGAGTACATCCACAAATTAGTCCTACCTATTATTGTGCCATTAAAATGTGGTCCAAATGGTCTTTTATGAGCTAACTAAAATATCATTGAATTTGTAAAAATTGCAGCTTGTTCATAGTTGGACGTTTAACGGAAAATAATGGATGGCTACATTGATCTTACTAATAGGTTTAGATCAATTAGTACTAAACCCTTGTTAAAGGTTTATTAATGTTACATGGATAGCTTGGCTTAGTGAAGAATTGAAAGTGGTTAAGTATTTGGTTTAGTTTATTTCCAAACTGACAAATTCAATACAGTACTGGATTTGAGGTTTGTCTGAAGTAGAATTAATTCACTAAAGTAGCTTTGCCACTTAAACTCTCTCATTAATTATTTTTAACAAGGCATAATCTGCACACGTTTGGTGTGCAGATGTTTTCTCTACTGTATAACTTGATTGCCTAGCAATTTTGCCCTTTGCATTTGATAAATTAGATTTTTATTTTATTTTATTTTTCCCAACATGGTACTGTAACTTGTCATTCATTGCTCATTTCTTGAGCTGTAATATTTATAAAAAAAAATCCCCTCGTGGGACACAAGCCTTGATGCGTTTGCATCATGTTACAGTATCTTGCCTGTAGAGAGAATTTAATAGTTTATGTAGTACTTATCCCCTTCAGTAGTTTTAACAAATGCAATTTCTATTGATCATGTTCAGCCAGGATTATTTTTGAGCTTTAGAAAATATTTTGATTTAACGTTGGACAATATAAATTATCGAACTGGTGCATATATTGACAATTTGGAAGTGGCAGTAAATCTACAAAAAAAAGTTAATTAGCAAGCATAAAAATGAATTTTTTATCTGTACTTAAAAAAAAAAATTGTATTCTGCACTATACACAAACCCATCGTCTTATTCACATAGTACTTTTTTGTAACTGGACCATTGTACGTACATTGATGTTATGTACAATTAGTAGAATTTGATATACTGTATTCACTTTATAGTCAGAAAAAATAAAGGTAAAAACCAAATGTAAATATTCCTAGTGTAGTGTGTGCACATACAGTACTATATTAGTCCAGCCTAGGATAGTTGGGTTTTATTAGCAACAACTACAAAACCTTTTCTGGTTTGTCCAAATTCAGTATCATCAAATTCTAGTTTTGAATTGTCCATTATGTCGGTACTGTGAGTACCTAGTTGTGCTTGCAGGGGTTGAGCTCTGGCGCTCTAGTCCTGCCTCTCAACTCGAAGGTGTGTGATAGTCCACATCATTACTATAAGTACAGTACTATATAAATGGGAGGATGTGCTTTGTACATGCCATAACATAATTAACACAACATAATTTGTTTCAGAGTGAAGACGTTTTGGTTCATGGCAGTTCTGCAGCTGTTGTGCAGTCAAGTAAAAACATCACTGAAACAATTGATCAGGATATTGTAAATGCCTCAAGTGAGGATCACTTGCAACTGACAGAGGGTGAGCTGGTTGACAGTGTTGAACAATCCACGGAACTGTTTCCGGAATTGAAGGACCAATCTGAAGACCAGTTTGGAAACTTTGTACGAGAACAGGCTCAAGAGACACCAAAAGATTTTACAATTGATTATCCGGAGAACGAAATGAACAGCCAATTAATGGATAGCTTCCAGTTCCAGCCAAAGGAACAGTCTTCACCTATGGAAGCTGATCAGCCACCTGTAGTGGCTAATGCTGCAGACTTCCTTCAAACTAGTATTGAGAAGCCATTTGACTTTGACATAAGTTCTGATAAAGCGACCTTGATGGAAACGTCTCTCGACAAAATTCCTGATGTAGTGGGTAGCAATGTTGAACCTAGTAGTCCTCATGGTTCAATTAGCCCTCATGTTCCAGGAAGCCCTAGGTCTGTGGAAGGTTACATCACATCTGTGGAGTTGAATACTGCTGAAGAAAGCTTTGGACAAAACTTTGCTATTAATCAGTCACAAGATTTGTTAATAGGAGCAGTGGACCAACCGTCTGGTGCATTTAGTGTGTATGTGAGCTCCTCCCCAGAACCAGCTAGCTTAGATCCATCTCTCCAAACGCCAATAGATCTTGGTAATGTATTAGAGGGAGTGACCAATGGAACTTTAGAGGGAGACTTCAAAGTACCTGAACCAGATCTCTCACCAGTAGAAATTGTTCATGCTCAATCCACAGTTGAGGTGGTTGCACCTCCATCACCTGTAGATATCAAGGAACAAGAAGTACAGTTTATTGTTCCTAACCCAGTCTCGGAGTCTCCTACTTCACCACAGTTGTTCTCTGACCTTGGTCAGTCTTCAGACATTACTTTTATTCCTGAACCTGTTGTGGAACCTGTAGCAGAGGTGCCAGTTCCCGTTTACATAGAAGGAAATACACCTGTTTCTGAGGGTGAAATGGAAATGCACCCTGATAGCTTGGCAGAGGAGCCAAATGTAGAAGAAATGGGGTCTGAAGAGGAAATACCTGAAATTGCAGAAACTGTGTGTGAACCTGACACACAGTTTTCAACAAGCCAGGCACAAGACTCTTCGGAGCCCTCTAAGGATCAAGTCGAGCCTGAAGCAGATGTTATCAAATCTCCAGTCGAGCCTGAAGCAGACGTTGACATCAAATCTCCAGTCGAGCCCGAAGCAGACGTTGACATCAAATCTCCAGTCGAGCCTGAAGCAGACGTTGACATCAAATCTCCAGTCGAGCCTGAAGCAGATGTTGAAATCAAATCTCCAGTTGAGCCTGAAGCAGATGTTGAAATCAAATCTCCAGTTGAGCCTGAAGCAGATATTGAAATCAAATCTCCAGTCGAGCCTGAAGCAGTTGTTGAAATCAAATCTCCAGTCGAGCCTGAAGCAGTTGTTGAAATCAAATCTCCAGTCGAGCCTGAAGCAGTTGTTGAAATCAAATCTCCAGTCGAGCCTGAAGTAGATGTTGCAATTAAATTGCCAACTCTATTATCAGTTGAAAATGAAGCAAAATCCCAACCTGATTCTGAGACGGTTAATGTTGATGTGAATGGCACACCTGCAGACATTGGTGTTGGTTCTGTTATTAATGATATTGTTGAAGATGTCCTGCCTGCTGTTGAAGAGAAAAAATTGGAAATGCCTAAGGTGGATGCTGCAGTGACCAAAGCTTCCATAAAGACTGATAAAACACCAGTGAAAGGCACTCCATCTAAGACTTCTGCTAAACCTACTCCTGGGAAAGTCACCCCAGCTAAACCTACCAGTAAATCTACCCCAACTAGAACTCCATCTACAAAGGCTTCTCCACTTACCAAGACAGCCGAAAGGAAGTCTCCTGTCACTAAAACTCTAGCAGCTGTGCCAGGCAAGCCTGCAATTGAGAAGAGCAGTTCTACTAAACTAGCACCTACAAAACCAGCCCAGACAAAACCTGCAACGGCAAAGCCAACGACAACGACGACTGCTGCAAGACCTTCCTCGACAAAGCCTATTCAAAGAACTGCCACTCCTAGGTTATCCACCACATCGTCACTATCCACTAAAACAGAGAGGAAAATTACTCCTAAACCTCCTACCCCAACAGCACCAAGAGCTTCATTAAGCAAGCCTAGTGCTTCTGCAAGTAAGCCTGCACCTGCACGTCCTACCCCAACTACCAGAACGATTACAAAGAGGCCAGTCACTGCTCCTAGTAAGAGTACAGACAAGCCAGACAGTAGCAAAGAGGCAGACGGCACTATTAGAAAAACTACTACTCGACCAACTTCTGCTCCCCGCACCACCACCACCACCACATCTGCATCTCGTAAAGTAATGCCGGCGTCTGCTAGGTCAGCTGCCGAGAAAGAAACAAAAAATACCACAAATCGCATTCTTTCTACATCAGCAGCAAAGCCTGCTCCAAGACCTACACCAGGAATGACAAAACCACCTTTAAGCAAAACCTCAACTACAGCAGCACGCTCTACATTGGCTACTAATACCAGAACTACTACTAAAGTTAATGGAACATCTACTACCAGCAAAGCTAAAACTACTACAATGGTCAAGTCTTCTGCAACAAAATCTTCTGGTAAGATAAAAATGGCTGTGTAATGTCTTAATTTTATGAAGGTGCAATTGAATTACAAGGTTCATTTTTTTCCAGGTATTTCATATCTAATTTTGTGTAAATACATTTCCTTCATTGTAACAATTCTAATTTGAAGATAGTGTATGCTTTGTAGTGTATTGTTAACATGGGCAATAAACGCTTGGCATAATGTCGGCTACCTTGACTCAAAGCTAAAAGGATAAGGCCTGAGTTGCATTCCACGAGTTACCACTCCTTAATTGCAACAACTTGAAGGTAATAATTGGTTAGTGACTAAAGAGTATTTTGAGAAGTATTAACATTAAACACAAAGTTGTGAGTTGACTTCATAAAGTGTGTTGCCTTTTACCCCAAATGATACATATGCCTGTTCATATATATATAGACCAAATTATATACAAACTGGGAATTCGGAATATATTGAAAATTAAAGTAGAGGAAATACAATTTCAGAAATTGCTATCTTTGCAAAGCAGATTTCTCGTGCTTTCTGCAAATTTGAGGAAAGCTTTAGTTTGAACTTGTCATGGGATGGATAGCTACTAGCAGATCCTCCCCCTCTATGGTCTCCCCTCGTCGGGGCAAGGAAGTGCTCGCCTACAACTCCTGGGCCCCCCCTCTCCCCCATTACCTACAGGCAGTGTGCATGCAGGAGAGACGCACAGGATTTAGGTCAATTGAGCACCTGCCAGTAGTTGTCCATGGGGATTGGTGGGTTGTATGGGCTGGGCTGGGGAAGAAATGTTCCCACCAGTGTGAGAGAATATGGTGTAGTCAATTTCCTTGTTGAAAAGGGGGCAGGGGCACCATTTGGGGTGACTGTCCCTTTATGCACCAGCCAGCGCACTGCCTCCCATCCTATCCTGAGAGGTGGTTTCCCTAGGCTTCAGGGCCCAATCTTTTGAGAAAAATGGTGAATGGCAAACAAAGTAACTTCTCGAACATGAGCTAAAGATGAGTGATGGAAGAGCACAGACCCTGTTTTGTCTTTGGTTCACCCCCTTGGGTTTTTTGTCCCCCCCCCCCCCTCCACTTCCTTGTCAGGGTCTTAATAGCCCAAAGCTCCCCATTGGTGACTCCTCTCATCACCTGGAGTGGTTCCATCTATAGTTATTACAGCTGTGCCTTTTACCCCCTCTTTAATGAAGTAACAAGACACAATCACTATCGAACATGCATGATTCCTTGGAACACTGTACCATGATTGGTTCGTCATGAACATGCTCACATTTATGATTTATATACATACATAGCACCCTTTTAACAGGATACCTGTTACCTGGTGTGGCATTACATGTAACAACTTGCACACACCTAAATGTGACCTATTCCCTTTAGCCCACTTACCATTATGATAGTGGGAAATTGCAAGTTATTGTCCGAACTGCAGTGTCCAACTCGAGTCGTGCATTTCCTTGTAAAATGCCATGATTTTCAGGACAATCATAGTACTTTCTATCCTAACGTCCCACCATCACTTGTTCCTTGACCGAATTCGCGCTAAATCCAACTCTTTCATGTAGCTCACATCATATACTTTTGTTTATGTACTGGCATCCTGAATTTAAAGTGACTTTTGTATTTTGGCAATATATGCAGTGCTACATAATTTGCCTGACTCGGTGCCCTCTTTTTATAATTACTGTACTTGACAGCAGATCCTGATTGTACTGCTTCTATGCCTCCTGTCTCTAAAGCATTATTTTTAAAAGGTTGCAACAACATAATCTTTTAGTGGTGTAAATATACCACACCAATCTTTCATTTTCAAATTTTTTGCTTTACTGTGAGATGCCATGGGTTCTTGAGCCAGTTAATATTTTAGACTATAGCTTTGTAATCATTTTCAGAAACATTTTTTGGCATCTTTGCCAAGCCAAGTTGATTTAAAGTTCTTATCTGTGAAATTCAAAATTCATGTAATGCATGAATTACAAATTATGGAATGTCTGCACTATACTGCCCATTTCCATCATTGTAGTTAATTGCATAATGTAAACTTGTATTAAGTGTAATGTGTAATGTACAGTATAATTGAAGTATATTCTCAATTGCAGGTGTTGCCACGAAGAGAACTATGGTCAGCAAAACCAAAACTACAACCACAGGAGAGAAGGTAGTTTCTGAAAAAACTGATAAGGCAGAAGTCATAGGAGCCATTCAGCCTGTTGTAAATGGGGAAAACAAGATTGCCGATGAAGAAACTAGTGTGGAGGTGATTGATAAGTGTGCGGTGGAAGATATAATGCAAGCCTCAACGGAGAAGGTATTCACTCAGAGCTCGCTCACTATGACCACCTCTGAACAGGTGGTAACCACCACAGACACAACCGAAGTGATAGTGAATGGAGATCATTGAGATGGTGACTAAGGAAAATGCATAGAATGAAATATTATATTGTTACCATTTTAAACTTTTGCATTTTCAGTCTTGGGGTCCAAGAGTGTCCAATTTTACCTAGTTGGTGTACTAGTCTGATTTTTCCAGTGACAATGAATAGTCGGGCTGATGGTGGAAAAGTATGGATATGTTTGGATCCTAGCTTGTGTATAGTCACCTTACTGCTAATGTTAGGAGCTGATATTCTTGCTTCACTAATAAATGTACAGTACTTGATTATAAAAAAAAGTGGTAAGGATTTATCTTGCATATAGTGAAAGAATATTAGTTACTTTTCACTTTTAGTTAAGATTGCAAAAAAAAGTTATTCAGTTACTGATTTAAGATGATTCAGAAATTTATTTTGCTTAAGTGCATGATGTCCATAATTATAGACAAGATGCAGTTTAAGCAAGTTTCCAAACTGGATTGCACGGTAAGATTTGCAGAAACGAAATAGAGCTTTAAGTTGAAAGTACTGTAATAAAAACTTGTAAATAGCTGGCAGATATTCCTGAGGTGCTAGTTCTCCTGTGTTGCATTCCGGTATTACCACTGCTTGTGAACTGTTGTACTTTGGATCCCTTCCCTCCCCCACCTACCCTGGCTTGTGTTTAGTCTAATAATGGCACCCATTTACACACACAATTATATATATTATAATTTATACATAATATATATATATATATAATTCTATAAATGTAATTATATATATAATATAATTATATATTATATGATTATATACAATATATATATGATTACCAGTGTGAAGCTTTGTCACTGGTTGGGGAAATGGATGTGATCAGTGTGGAGAAAAGGCAACAAAAGTGATGCTGCTGCTGATGTTAAAAAAGTGCCTTTATCCCAAACTTCTCCATTCCATATTAGTGCTGGAAAATTATTCTGAATATATAAAGAATTTATCCCCCAGGCATTATTTATTTATATAATCAGTTTTTAATGATTTTTATTAAGACATTGAAATAAAACAAAATTCCTATTAGGTATATTCTGTGCATTGTCCAAGATGAGTATTGTATATTTTGTTAGTTTGCTTCTTGTCATATTAAATGTCATTGGTTTCGCACAAGCCTCTGTAAAGTGTACTGATTATTGTATTGAAATAAAGATAAATATATTAATTTGTCTTTAATATATACTGATACAATTGAGAATATATATCGGCATTTATGCATCTTAAAGTGCAATTTAACTTTCAGACGAATGTTCCATTATTTGGCGTATCAAGTGAAAGTAGGATTGTTAAGTCATTGTCCTTAGTGTGCTAGGGCAGGAATGTATAGTGTTATATATGAGACTTTAGAGCAGGATACTTGTGTAACTAAACTTATTGAAGCCAATTTGTTATACCTTGTTCACTTATGTATTGTACCTTTAAAGTAATTTTGTATAGAAACCCTCTAAAGAGCTGCTGCAAGGGAGGCATTTTTGAACTGTTTATTTTATTTCGGTTTACCTTTGGCCTGTTTGGATGCCTGGCAACTGTCCAAAATAGTAGTTTTTGGCTCCACCTGGTTGTGTGTAGATGAATTGGGTAAAGTGAATTCTTTGGTTCCTTCCCATTAAAGGGGAAGCTTTGCTTCAATTAAAGTAAACCATAGCTTTATTTTCAATGTAGACTCTTGTCTAGATTCTCAATAGTAGGCAGACAGGCTTGCTTCACAATAGATGAAAAATAACACTGAGCAGTGTGCAAGAGAGAGTACTATGCTGACACCCCAACCCCCTCTTTTTCCTTCTCTAGACATTAAGTGCATTGTCTTTTACCTAAATGGTAGGCAATGTCCCCATTCCCATGTCCCCAATGAAGGTCCCCACCTTCCCAGCCACTTCTGTGGCAGTAGCACAACTTGCCCAGTGTGACCAGCTCTCCAATACAGTACTTGTATCTTCCTTGATGCTTGTAACAAGTGCTGTTTCTCTTCCTTGCTTCCTTCACCGTAAATAGTTGGCAGGTATACCTAAAGTGTTACGTCTTATTTTGCATTTGGGAATTACTGTGTATTGTGGACTTGTACTTTCGATCTTACCAACCTGTTTGCTGTCAATTTCACCCTTGTGATGTTTCAAAAGTGCAAAGCTGTTTACCCCACCCCATCAGACATTCCCTTTGGTGTTGGTTCACAATGAGGCCCACTTTTCTGGCAGGTATGGATGGCTCCTGCTTCCCTCTTGCCAGCTGTGGCAGTGTACACGTTAAAACACCCATCACCTAGGATAGCTTTGACCCAAACAGGAATCCTACCTGGATTGTACTTGGATGAAGTTCAGAGTTCTACTTCCCAAGCCTGGGCCAGGCTTGAGAACTTGGTTCAACTGGCTATTTGAGTGACCCTCAGGCCCATATATTCACTACAGCATAATTGATCTGGTCCTTTCTGCAGAAAACTGTTCAGTTTTTTCTTGAATTCCACTTTTGTTCCAGCATTATTTCTTAATACTTTTTGGGAGGATATTGAACAACCGTGGACCTTTGATGTTCATAGTGTTCTCATGCCTATGGCACATCTGCTCTTCACTGGCTCTTCTGCATTTACTAACATGTTGTTCACTACAGTATGTTTTGCTGCAAATTTGGCACTTGGCCCTCCAGTATTTTCCATGTACTGTATGTATTATTTTGTATATTTCTTGTCTCCTATCTAGAGTACATTAGACAATCCCAATACTGTAGTTAACCATGGGTGCTTTGTGTGCATGTGGTTTGTACATATTCTCTGTATTCAAAGTCAATTTTAGGAATATCTCTTGCACTGAAGGGGGAAGTGAGTATTGAGCAGCATTAGATAGGAAATCACAGGAGATCCAAATAGTATGAGCATTGTGATGGGGATGCCTAGATTTGAAGGTTCGTGTAATCCAATTCCCCCTGTCCCGTACGTCCCAAATCCTCATCCTGACCTCTTCCCGGTGCTATAAAGTCGTAATGGCTTGGCACTTTTCCCCGATACTTAAAAAAAAAAATGGGATCCTCTTGGACGTAGGTTCGAACCCTGGCCACATCCCCTGTGGATTTGTTCAATTGATGCATCACTGTTGTGATTTCTGTTTTTAACTTTTGTAATATCCATGTGGCCTAAAGGAAGAGCGACAGTCTCGCTTCATGCAGGTCAGCATTCAATCCCTGACCGTCAAAGTGTTGGGCACTGTCTTCCTCCCATCCCAAATCCTTGTCCTGATCCCTTCCAAGTGCAATGTAGTAGTAATGACTTCGCGCTTTCTCTTGAGTTCCCTTTCAGCCCTCTACCTCGGTCTCATTTTCCTTTCTCCAGTTTTTCCCTTGTATTCTCACCATCCTGTCAATATCCGAATTCACTATTTCAACTAATACTAACGTCTGGACTCTGGGCAGAACACGGTCTGTGAATGTGAAATAGATTGATATTTAGGATTGGGCCTCCCTTCAAGGGTGGAAGGGGACACTCCCTCCTATCCATGACGCTAAAAATCATTAATCCTGCAAAGTTTAATGAGGCTTTAACTGTACTTTGTGTCCGGAAGGGAGGAGAGCGCCAGACCCTGCCTCCAGCGGATTCGGCTGATAAACTATTTAGCGACTCAATTTCCTGGAATATAGCTTTCACTGCACATGAGCGATAGCCAAGAATTTGTTAAAAACTATGATCGAGCCACACTCATGACACAACTAAAATCTGAAAGAGTGATTAGGACTTAAATCTTGTAAGTCCGACCAAAGGAACCTGTATCTAGTCAAACACAAGACAAAGTTGAAGGTCCAAGGGTATACCATCAGACTAGTCCCAGAACTACGAAGATGGATTACATGAATTGAGCCTCACTTTGCTGGAAGACAAAAGATTTAGGAAAGACACAAAAGACCACAAAATTCTCGGGAATTAAAAGGGTAGAAAAAGATAAGACTACCACAGGTGGAAACTGTACCAAATGAGCCATAGATATCAAAAAAAGTTTTTTCTAGTTAAAATAGTTAATGGAATGAATGTACTAGGAAGTGATGTTGATATGCCAGTCACATAAAATAAAAAAGTAATATAAAGTAAATAACACTGCCTCTGACCTCTATACGATGTGAGAGCTGTGGGATAAATTCCAAAAGAATGAAAAACTAAATATTTAATATAACAAAAATGACTCCAACAACAATTAAAACAATTTCCATATTCTACTTGGCAATATGCAATACAAATTAAATACGAACATATGACAGTTACGTTAATGGCAAAGAAAGGTGTAAATTAATACAATATACAATAAGGTGTATGCATCTACTGTTTCCTGGGAAGGCTACAGTACATGTTACTGCTTGAGAGCACGAAACGTATTCTGAAGACTGGCCAGAGGTGAGCTGCTTACATAGGCGGGCTAGGCTTAGTGTAGATGGCGCTGATGGGCAGGTAACTATCACCCGCAGCAGTTAAGGCTGGTCGACTGGTGAGTGGCGCTGGGCCCCAGATAGGTGTCCAGGTATCTCGGGTTATCTTGAGATGATTTCGGGGCTTTAGTGTCCTCGCGGCCCGGTCCTCGACCAGGCCTCCACCCCCAGGAAGCAGCCCGTGACAACTGACTAACACCCAGGTACCTATTTTACTGCTAGGTAACGGGGGCATAGGGTGAAAGAAACTCTGCCCATTGTTTCTCGCCAGCACCCGGGATCGAACCCGGGTGCTTGTGGGTGGAGTGGGAGGGGGGGAGTTGTCTTGTCTAGACACAGGCTTCTGAGCACGTATTGTTGTTGTTGTTGATGATTTCTTATACAGGAGTATGCAAATATGTTGAATAGGCAGAATCTCCTTGCCTAAGCAAGAGATTATCGTAAATGCAAAGCTGATCATGTGTGCTCTAATGTCTAGAGGTCTCAGGCAAATCGGCTGATAAGGAAAGGATATGGACTTTGCTTGGAAAGCGGAGAAATTTCTGGGGCAAGGAAAACATAAGCCTATCGGGTTAACTGCGTAACACAGCTAGCTTATAATTTCAAGATCATGTAAAAGTTTGCTAAGTTTACGTGTTAAAATTAATAAATTTACACTGCTCAAACGCGTAACGGAAAATGTACGGTAGACAGGTACATGCAAATTGTATCTAGCAAGGGTTAATACATTCATTTTTAAATGTAATAATAAAGGCGCCTTTTAATTAATATTTGTAAATTTAATATTTATTATTATAAAATAAAATTCTAAGTTCCTCCAGTCTATGCCTGAGTTTTCCTTCCCGCCCAGAATAAAAATATTATTTAAGAAACAAATTGGGGTTGATAGCATACTGCGTATATATGCAAACCACAATATTATTCAATATATCATAAAACAATACACCAATAGAACATGCTTACTCATTATAACCCTGAAGAACGTAACGTAGTGGAGGTGGGGTCCCTCAATTGTTTCAAGCGTGGGTTGGACATGTATATAAGTGGGATTGGGTGATTATAAATACGAGCTGCCTCGTATGGACCAATAGGCCTTCTGCAGTTACCTTTGTTCTTATGAGCTAATCCCCTCGTGTCTCTCAGTTTCCTGGAAGTGTGTACGTCACTCGAGCAGGTCTGAACGCTCTGAAACAGCTTATCCCCACCTTTTCTCCGCATGTAGTGTGAAATATGGTCTGCAGTCATCTTTTTTTTTTATGCAAACTGCTCCTACTATCAAGAAGAAGAAATGTGGTCCTCCAAAGGCACTACAATAATTGTAAAATATTGACTTTTTAATAATCCTGACTGACTTTTTAATATTGACAAATGCAAGACCATACATGTAGGGCAAAACAACCCACGCCACAACTACCAAATTAATAATAACATTACATTGCGGCAGATCGATGGGGGAAAATGACCTTGGAGTCAAAATCCACCACTCAATGAATGTTGCCCAGCAGGTAGGACCAGCAGTTAAAAAAAGCCTAACCAAACACTAGGAATAATCAAGCTTACCTTCGTTTTCAATGAAAAGAAGGTTGTGATTCAATTGTATAAAAATCTGGTGCTCCCCCATTTGGATTACTGTATCCAAGCATGAAGAGCCTCATTTTCAGAAGAATAGAGCTGCTCTGGAGATGGTGCAACACCGGGCAACAAAAATCATTCCAGAGCTAAGTCAGCCCACGTGTGAGGAACGGTTTAGGGCCACAAGGCAACTCTAGCTAAACTCAAAGGGGAAATGTGACAAATCGTTGACTTTATTTATCTGCAACATAAGTTTTTGTCTTGAAATACTAAGAATTATAGAATATCTCATTTAAAACACCTTTATCGTTCTACTGATATTATCAGTACAGCAACAAAATCCATAATGTAAACAATGTAGAGTGATTCAACAGTGACCTGTGAACATTGAGTCTGCCCGAAACGCTGTCGGTACTAGTGGCTTTAAAAGAATGTAAACACATCATATTATGTACTCTCACAATACAATCTTGATGAGCTAATTTTGTCACTAGCTTATCAAGATTGTAATTTGCTTAGCTAAATGAATTGTGGGGTTCAGTCCCTGAGCCCATTATGTGCCTCTGTAACCCTTTCCACTACCGCCCACAAGATGGGTATGGGGTACATAATAAATGAACTAAACTAAACTATGTACTCTCACAAACCCAATGTACCTTCTAATATCTATATACACAAATAAATAAATAGATAAATAAATAAGTGACATGATCCGGGTGACAATTTTGAAAGGTGGTTGGTGATGGAGCCGAGAGATGGCAGCAGGGTGGCGGGAGCCGCAGATGGCAGCAGCATCTGTTTGTTTACTAGTGTAGTAGCAGACGCCATCACGGGAGGACGTGCGCCTGCGCCGCCCCCTGGCTTCCGTAACTCGCCTTCGGTAAGTTGGCCCTCACCGACGCTTGCCCTTCTCCCCTCCCATTAGGGACGGCAGGCTGCATGTCTGCCGGGGAAGGTGCATCTTCTGCCTTAGGGACAACACGAGGAGACTGCTAAATATGTGTTATTAAGTGTCTCATGTGGAGGTTACGACTCTCTCCAGGTGATGTGGCCATAACACAGTGCTAGGGTGTGCCACGAGGAGCCTGGTAGGCACTGGCTGCCGCCACTCGTGAAAGGCAGGCACTGGCTGCCACCACACGTCTTAGGCAGACCCTGGCTGCCATCACTAAGACATGATTGTAAGACAAGATGAAGGTCAGACTAGCGTTGTGGTGATGCTCAGTAGTGTGTATATTCCTTATCATTGTTGCGATGGGTCAGGCAGAGCATGGTCATTGTCACAGGTGGTCAGGCAGAGCATGGTCATTGTTACAGGTGGTCAGGCAGAGCATGGTCATTGTCACAGGTGGTCAGGCAGAGCATGGGAGTGTCATTTCACAGGTTGTCAGGCAGAGCATGGAGTTGGAATAGAAAAAACATATACAGCACATATAGACACAATAAATGATAAAGAACTTAAGTTATTGGGATCATCTTAAAGCTCTCCAATGTGCTCCCTAGAAAGGAGACAAGAGCCGTATCAAATAATATATACTGTACTGTACATGGAAAATACTGGAGGGCCAGGTCCCAACTCTACACATTAAAATGGCAACATACTAGAGTGAATGATATGGAAGGAAATACAGAATAGAGCCAGTGTCATAGATGCCATATGCACAATCAGAGAACACTGAACATCAGAGGTCCATGGTTGTTCAATATCCTCCCAGCAAGTATAAGAAATATTGCTGGAACAAAAGTGGAAGTCTTACGGGCTTTGTGCCTTCTTTTGATAATTGCTTCAAGAAATAACTGAACAGTTTTCTTCAAGAAGTGCCAGACCAACCAGGCTGTAGTGGGCCTGTGGGCTGCTCCAAGCAACAGTCTGTTGGACCAAGTTCTCACAAGTCGAACCAGGCCCTGGGCTGGGTTTGGGGAGTAGAACAATTCCTAGAACCTCATCCAGGTACAATCCAGGTAGTGTCATTGCCACAATTGGTCTGGTAGAGCATGGGAGTGTCATGGCCACTAAGTAGTTCTAACATATTCCAGTTCTTTAAATCATTGTTGACTCTTATGCTCTCAAAACTGAGCAGATGTCTGCACAAATGCTTCATTTCTTCCAGTAGATTCCCTGGAATAATCTCTCTGTAGATGGAAGGAAAAATTATTGCCCTTGGTATTAATTTCTTCATCTTTGGACTGATCCAAAAAGAAAGAAAGAAAGACAGAAATTCAAAGCGATCATTCATGGTTTTCAAGACAGTTGAAAGTGGGGGGGGGGGATTTTTTGTCTGCTCTAATTCCTTGGGTTTGGTAAAAAAATTAATCTATTTTGCTTTGAATGTTAGTGTATGCTTGGTTTGATCAGCCAAATGTTCATCATCTTTGTCGGATTGCAATGTCGTGTCTGTGTCTTATGGCATTGTGACACACTTCGTCCAATTCATTATTCCTGAATTTTTGTAGTACAGTACCTTGTACTATGGGGTGACCAGAGGTTAATCGGCAATCTTGCATAAGTTGGACAACTGGGTGCTACAGCACAGAAAAAAGGCTTTGGTTGTACTGTAGATTAAAACCATATTTATAATCAAGGCTTATGATCAAGATTATTTTTGGAAGACAAAAACCATATTTATGGCATTCAAATAATCCATTTTCTACTCATTTCTCATGACTTTTGCTATGCTTTCTGAGGTTAAGGTTAGGTGAAATGTGGGGTTGGCAGAGTCAGATAGCTCTGTTGACATATTAGTGCCAACATGTGATGGTAGCCAATTAGCAATTAGAAAAGTATTTTGCCTATTTTTATTATTTTTGCTTGTCAGTACTTTTTAGTCCAATTAGTTCTTAAAAGGGTTTGATTTATAGATAATTGAATCATCTGAAGGTCATTATGGACTGGATCAAGTACTAATATTCTGTACCTGCCTTTACTATGCATTGTCCTATACTGTACTATACTGTACAACGTATGGGTACAGCCAGGCCTTGGCTTATAGAGCAATTGAGGGTCTTACAGTGGAGTTTTGAACAACCGTACACTCAAAACCTTATTTATACTTAGCTGTTATTGCTTTCTATTAAAATTATCTTAGTTTTGATAAATGTATTTTTATTTTGCAGTTGATGGCCCATGCAAACGAAAAAAAAAAGATCTTGGCAAAACTTCAACGTACATCATTATGGGACAATTATTATAGTGTGTTCGAAAATTCTCATTGAAGTCGTTTTTCTCGGTGAACATCAAGTTAGCATCCAGAAAGTGAACTGTGTATGACATTTAAAATATTTCAACGATTACTTCTACTTAAGTCCTGTACAGTAATAAAAAAAGCAACTGTTAGACTTATCATTGTGAATTATGTCAAGATTTTATTAAATTTACTGCAATTTTAGTAATTATAATTTATTGCAAATTAATATTATAGTAAATATTTATTATTTATTTGGATTTTTTGGGCTTATACATAAATGGAAAATGTATGTGATAAAACAAGCAAAATCTTATGGTAGGATTATCACTTGTACGCCCTAAATTTAAATAAATACTGTGCATAAATGCTAATACAGTACATATTTATATAAATGCAGAAACATGCTTATACAGTATAAAATAATAAAAAAATCATGAAATCCTTTTAAAAGTATGATGCTTTTATCACACTCTGCTTTTAGTGAAGAAAAAGCTAAATAAGTGAAAATATAAACTCGGCCACTGATACATTATCAAGATAACCAGATACTATACTCAAAACATAGATCGTAATAATTAATAGCAAGCATAAAAATGGCAGTAACGGGTGAAGCAGAAGAGCCTATGATAGAGGAAGGAGCCCATTCCGTTGTCCTTTCCGCCAACAACAGTGGTCAGGTAGAGGAAAATAGGCCTACTGTTCGATTAAAAGGCGGTGCAGAGGCTACACCTCTAACAGAGTTCTCGGCTATGGAGAATGGTCACGTACAAGCAATGGTTTCGGATGAGCCCACCATAGCAGAAAAAGTTGCCATGGAAAATTATGATGTCCCAGCTCATGTCCTTGCCTTTGTCCCACCTGATGGAGGGTGCCGGGCATGGCTTGTTATGTTTGCTTCCTTCCTCTGCAATGGAATTATATTCGGTACAATAAATTCAAGTGGCTTGATTTATAATGATCTTGTGAAAAAACTTGAAGATGCTGGGGACCCTAATGCTGCATTTAAGACATGTAAGTGTTACACTTAATTTTCTTTTGAATATTGAATTTAATACTGCATATCCAATATAGTACTGTATTGTATTAGACTACAGTATTATTATAGTATACAGATAGTATTACTTAAGTATAATATAATGTGTTTTTTATTTATATGTTAATACTGTAATTTTATTTTGAACTAACTTGCCATCTTCTTACTTAGACCAAGTGCATGAGATAATGCTGAACATTTTGTATTTTATTACTTAATCAAAGGACTCGAGTCTGCTAACCTTGTTGTTAATGCACTTGGCTGTGAGCCAGTTGTATTTGGGATCGTTCCATGGGGTAGAACTATTTATTTAGGCACATTTCCTCACAGCTGATGCCTCTGTTTACCTAGCAATAAATAGGTACTGTACCTAGGAGTTGGTCAACTGTTGTTTGCTACCTTTCCCAGTATGTAACCCACAACAGATGCCTAATTCACTAGGACCTATTTACTGCTTGGTGAACAGAGTGAAAGGAAACATGCTCAACAATTTTTGTCCTGCCTGGAAACAAAACATAGGGTCCCTTGGATATGAGCTGAAGACATAGACCATTGTGCTACAGGACCCATTTTTCTAAGTTTTATTTTTAAAAATAATAATATTATTATTATTCACACCTTTGTGAATAATAATATTCATTTATGTGAATAACAAGAAGTTGTTGTTGTTATGGATTCAGCTACTGGGAACAAAAAGTTGCAAGTAGCACGGGCTATGGTGAGCCCGTAGTAGACTTGCCTGGCACAGGAGCGGGGCTGTAACTGAACAACCTTGTTAAGTGTGCTGGCTAAGTCTGTTGTTGTTGTTTTAGATTTAGATACGCAGAACGAAATGCCCATGTAGCACGGGCTATGGTGACCCCGCTGTGGTAGAGCTCTCCAGACATCTCGTTGGAGGTGGCTGTCTGGTGTTGACTTGACTTAGAGGAGGTATTGTAGCATGTAGGTGTTGAGGGTGATAGGAAGAGGCAGCTTTCCACAGCTATGCAGGGGAATTGCATAACACTGGCAAAGTAGGAAGATCTACAGTCGACAAATTTGTTATACCTGCCAAAGATTTGTGGCTACATATCACCCCGGACAATTCTTGAACGTTTGTGATAGGGTTGTCAAATTCATAGCTTTCTTCACATTGTTACATGATGATGTAGAGTGCGTGATTACATTTGGTTAGATCTACGTCAGCAGGTGATGTAAATTCTTCAAATATACTTATAACCAAGCCTAATCCTATCAGTAACATGTCTAGAAATCTGCTAACCTTATTACATGGCCTTTAGATATATGGCTCTTCTTGCATTGTAGCATGATGATATTTGAAATGTCCGTCGATGGCTTGGGGGATCTTGAACCTTACAGGCTTCCTATCTCACAGTAGGAATTTATATTAAATTGTTTTGTTATCGTATATTATTGCCCTCAGGCTGTGTACATAAGCAATCTGTTATAATCTTTAAAATTAAACGCTTTCGGAAAAGTCAACAATATTATCATACATTCGAAGGCAATATAGGAGGGAAGCCGCAGATGAAAGACTTGTCCATCATTAATGATTAGGTTATGTGCGCTTCCAGTAAGTAGGCTGTTACAGTTCATGTCGTGAGGAGCTGAGTGCATTTAGGAATGTGATAGACTTAGTCGCTTACACTTAACGTCAGTTTTAAAATGCATGTATAAAGTTTCGTCTGGTGCATGGAATCCCAGTTATTTAAAAACTCACAATAGCTCAGAATAGGAGCTTGTCTCTCGTCTCGACGACTGCACTTCCGGTGCTGGGAATCGGCTTAAATGGCTTGGGAGACGGAATGGTCTGTGAGCAGAAGTCACTATACTGTGGTCTGGAGTGGGAAGGGTTAGATACTAAATTGGAAAGCGAAGCGATACTAAATATATCCCACAGTGCAGGAACGTCATGTTGTTGTATCCACTTGATAAAGATTGTGGATTCGATAAATTATGAGTTTAGTTGGAGGTTTAATAATTCATTTTGAGGGAGGTTGATCTTCGATTAATTGATTGATGAAGATTAAGCCACCCAAAACGGGCATGAATAGCCCGTAAGTGGTGGCCCTTTGGGGCCATTTTACCAGTATCAATAGATGATACTGGAGATCTGTGGAGGTGCGACTGCACCCTGCGTGACGGGAGATGTCTCCCGTGTGCGATAGTATTCATAGGGCGTCTGTGCAAGGGCTGGGTGAGGTAACATTATTGTTTTAGTGTAAAGATATTAATAAGTGATACGATCATTGACACTGAGGATATTGAGCTCCATCGTTTCGTATTTATTTTTCAATTCCTGCAAGCATTCTTTCAGGCACTTTAGCAAGCACTATAGACACACAGAGATCACAATAACGTGATGCATCAAATGAACAAATCCACTAGGGCCGTGATGAGGATTCGAACCTGCGTCCGGGAGCATCCCAGACACTGCCTTAATCGACTAAGCTACGACTTGGATTTGTTCAAGCACTATAGCACTGGGTATTACATGTTAGTGGCATAATCAATTAAGGATCTAATATATGCAAGTCACATCATACTTGCCCCAACGCTGGGACGGTCAGTACCCCTCCACAACAACCTTGAGTCGTGAATGTCTACATTGACCACCCAGTCTAGTTACAACGTGATCAAGTGCGACTTCAAGGCCAAGCAGGATATTTGGGTCTGGTACCGTAGTCAAGTTAAGAGCTATCACCAGTTGCATCTAGTAAACATCTTCCGTCTGGGTGGGTGTGTTTATACCCAGTGGATAATGTTGTCACCATAACTTACAGCGTGGTAGTGGTTTTTTTAGGTACAGAGTACAGCGTTTAACTTTGAATAAACATTACATTCATTAATACACTGAATACGCTAAAGGTAAACTTCAGATGTCAGAATGTGTTGATGATAACGTTTCAGTGAAGGTGAACGTTTCAGTATACAAGGTGCTGATATCACAATGGTTCAAACTCCTCCCCTGCGTCGAGACATGTATCTGAGGGTATGATAACTTAATTATGGTGATAGTCTTGTATGACCGTCTTGGCAGTCTTATATCACACTGGTATTCGATGGTTCGGTCTGCGAGGAGAGCGGTACTGAAGCACTTTATTGAACCGAGTGATGGAATACAGATTTTTATGGAAAGGAAAAAGCATTAGCTGAAATATATAATAAATTGGTCCTAGATCTGGCGTCCATTGTGAAAATAAAAATAAAAAAACTCACAAGGTACCTGAACACTTAAGATGAATTTGACGCAGTAAATTGATAAGAGTTTTATGACTATTCGTGCCTTATTTTTTAATGAAACTACAGCTTTTTGCAAAACAAACTTGAGATAATGCACTTTACCCCTAATAAAAGTGCTGCATTTAGATCTGTAAATAAACAAATACATTTCTTGTAGGATTTACTGATTATTCAAACCTCGAGAAAGGTTTCACCATTTTTCGAACCCCGTTTAACTATATATAATCTAATTTTTGTTTTAACTATATGTAATTGATTTACAATGTGATTCTGATTTGAGGGGATTTTTTTTAGTGTTGATGTAAATTTTATCAATACCTGAAATTAAGTCCATGTTTGGAAACACGTCTGTGAACAGCTGTTTCTCTAATGTACATTAAGAAATCTCGGCTTCGTTCTCAACTTACTGATGTTCATCTGAATCCAATACTCAAAGAGGCTGTAGCTCAGTCATTTGCTCCAGACTTTGATGCTCTGTGCCAGACCATGAGAGGCCAAGTGTAAGGAAGCAGCATTACCAGGCAGTAAGGTAAAAATATATATATATATATATATATATATATTATATATATATATATTCATCCACTATATATATATAGTGGATGAATGGACATAACAAAGGGGAACAAATCCACAAGGGCCGTGACGAGGATTCGATAATATATATATATATATATATATATATATATATATATATATATATATATATATATATATATATATATATATATATATATATACACACCAGGCAGCAATACCAGGCAGTAAGGTAAAAATATATATATATATATATATATATATATATATATATATATATATATATATATATATATATATATATATATATATAATGTGTGTGTGTGTGTATATCACGAAAATAAACACGTGGTTAAAAATGTGACAATGTCAGACCACGGAGGAAAAATGAAACAGGAATTTCCTTAAGTACTTTCGTATATTAATACATCTTCAGAAGGAGTGACCTTCTTCTGAAGATGTATTAATATACGAAAGTACTTAAGGAAATTCCCGTTTCATTTTTCCTCCGTGGTCTAACATTGTCATATATATATATATATATATATATATATATATATATGTTTTTTTTTTTACCTTACTGCCTGGTGTATATATATATATTATCGAATCCTCGTCACGGCCCTTGTGGATTTGTTCCCCTTTGTTATGTCCATTCATCCACTTGTAAACCACTATCATGTCACCCCTAACTCTTCGCCTTTCCAGTGAATGCAATTTAAGCTTTGTTAATCTTTCTTCACATGACAGGTTGGGGAATTAACTTTGTCATAAGAAACAAAATAAAAGATTGAAAGGCTCCTGTCTTCACAGAAAAAATAGACCCCACTGTACCCACCGAAACACGAATAGATGTTCAGCAGAAAATAGAGAACCACTGGCTGAATATCAAATAAATGGACCTAAACCATTTCACACAGATACACCAGACGATCATGTCTAGCCCCGCGATAACAAATGATTTTGACTCCTCTGACCTAAGCTCTATCTTCGGCTTGGGCCCCTCCCCCCCATCCCCTGCAGCCACGGGCGTCTGAAAGAGCCTAATTTTTAATCATATCGTAGTTAAGGCGCGAGTCTGGGGTGACAAGACGCTGACTCAATCACACTGTCCTGCTGCTAAGATTGATTGATGAAGATTGAGCCACCCAAAAGGTGGCACGGGCATGAATAGCCCGTAAGTGGAGGCCCTTTTGAG